GAGAAAAAAAGATTGCCTGGATTTTGAAGTGTGAGCCACTAAAAGCCAGAATATCAAGATCAATCAAGATGAAATTAAACTCTCTAGTACCGAGGGGATCCCCTGGAGATCAATTCTCTAAAAAAATGTCTTCTATAAAGGGAAGATTATTCGAAGTGGGTATAAAACAAGTTGCAAGTCTCCTATTAAATGGAATGACGGAAACCGGCAAAATACTAAAAATACTACCGGCATAATACTAAAAATTTGAACCCTCAAGGATGAGAAAACCTGACCATTGCCTGGCCCCAGTCAATGGGAGAGGAATCACCCACAGGACCCTCATCCCCAGTGGAATCACCAACAGGACCCTCATCCGTAGTGGAATCACCCACAGGACCCTCATCCACAACAGAACCAAAGTTTCGTCATTGAGAAATTAATGCTAGAGGTCGACGCACTGAAGAAAACGGCGGAGACAAAGAGAGAAGCAGAAAGGAAAGAGGAAGAAAAGAAACAGGAGAGGCATCTTTGATTTCATGATGATGATTGATTTTTTGATGATGATCGAATCGCGCACTTCAGCGCAATATTGACCCTAACCTCAATCCGGTCGACGGGATATCTATCTATACTGTACCGATTCACGGCATCACCAAAATTAATCTCGATGAGCACCGCGGTAAAATATTAATTCAAGATTAATTTGTGACTGTCATCAATAAAATGTCCAGCTCGACTCCAGCACCGAATGTCTTTCAATAAATTGATGAGCTTTCTTAATAACTTCTGTACACTTTTCTTTGACCGTTGTTGATCTTAATCCTGGGATTAATAGTTAAAATAGGGATATTTCCTTTTCATTTTTGGTTTATTTTAATTTGAGGATAACTTAAATGAATTAGATTTTTTAAGTCAGCTACTCTAATAAAGTCGATTCCTTTGATTTTATTACATTATTTATTTTCTATTTCAAGGTTTTACTTTGTTAGAGTTAGTTCAACAGTTTTTGGAAGTTTTAAAGGATTAAATAATGGTGTTATTCAAAAAATGAATGTTACTAGGAATACTGTTCATAATTAAATCTGAAATAGATGAAGCATGAAGTAGAAAATCACTGACATCTCTCGCGATTGAATACTTTATCGCAGGGGAAATTGGGAAACATGAGGAAACTCATACGTCGTTCTTCTCAAGCACGACAGGGAAATATTTTCCCCTGAAGATGGGAGCAATGACTCCCAAAACTTAGGGAATAGCTCGTGAGTTTAATAAACGCAGTTATACTGGAGAAAGTTTGTTTCTCCATGTGTAAATTGAAACGCTGTTTTTCCTCTTGGCTTTTTCCTCGTACACATACATTCACGGCTTTAAGACCTCTCGGTTGAAGGAGAAATCTTGTCATTCGTGTATCTCCCGGGCTCCCTAATTGTTCGGCATTGATTCAATTGTCAAGATCAATGAAGATTAGTCAACAAATAAAATCTAGTTTGTTGATCACGACTTGTTGCGCTTCGGAAACTTGAAGTGAGCACCCAAGCTACTGCTGCGTTCGGTTTACGAGTGTTCCGTTTCCGTTTCAATATTGGTCGTATTTCTGCGAAAAGGAACTATGTGCATTGAGACGTGAGCCCTGAGACCCATAATAATCTATGCATAACAGGGCTCACGTCATAATGCACAAAGTTCCGTATGGAAGAAATACGTCCTATCATACCTTGTCGTAAAGCCTGTCTCGAATCCCTTATTCCATTTCACATTTGGATGCGAGATTTACCAAGTTGAGGATTTTCACTCTTCAGCCCCCAATTCATGCCAATGAAAACCACGCACTTTGACATACGAAAACGGGTTGTAAAAAAGAGGTGTGTATAATTAAAACGAATAATCTCCATGCAGTTGTTTCGACTTCTGTAAAACCGCAAAACACTATCATTTTAGTAATAAACGATAGATAATTTTCAAATACAACCTACAACGTTGCAAATATCAAAAAGACTCAGGAATGACAAGTTTAGAAAACCAATGAGTAACTGCTCTAGACATTGATAAATGCAATTATTGTAGATTGTCTGTATTGGCCCTTTTCTTCTTGGTTTTTGAACCTTCTGGTCAAATTCAGATACGTTACCAAATCGTTTTTATTGTTGATGCCTATCGTGATGTCGTGAGATTTAACACAAGGAAAGTCTATTTACTTAGCTGCATCTCTGGAAGGCAACGAACCCACTATTACGATTGCTCAGCAAAGGCAAGACAAGAATCGGAGATAACAAATTGTTTTTAATCTTGAATGGCAATAAATAAATCTCGATAGGTAATAAAGGAGCCAATATTCGCCTTGATCGGAAAGAATTGTACTCTTAAATACATCTCATTTGATAAGTGCGCGAACAACGTTCACTGCTTTCAATGAATCGTTCCAAGAATGTCGCTGGATGGTATGAGCCAATGTTGTGTCCCATTCCGGAAAAAGTATTACAAACTATTTTTGTACCAAAAATTGAGTTACTCGCGGGTTTGAAACTCTTACAGATACATAAAATAAATAACAATGTACGTGTAATAATGAAAATAATTTTCTGAAGAATTAATCTGCGACTGTTAAATACGTGGGAAAGAATTCAACAAAAACGCAATTCTCACGCACCAAGAAACACACGTAGATTCCTATTACATACGCCACAGTGGCAATTCTTGAAATTAGGCAACAACGTATTCTCTCCATTTATATGCACATAAAACAATCGATTCTTCGTGAGGCAGCTCGCCTCCCCTAAAATTGATGTTTTTAATGGATTTAAATGGAGGAGAAACAGTCAGCAAAATCGACACTTCACAAGATCAAGTCCGAACGCAGTTACACGGGCGCCACTTTCCTTACTATAGAACATATTTTTCTTGGACTATTGTTAAATTATTATGAGTAAATGCATCCTCCGCCTATATTAACTATAGTTCAGGCGGAAAAAGCATGTACAGCAAATCATGCATCATCAAATTTTGCCACATCTTAAAGTCTTCACGGAATGAGACGGTGTGACGGGTGTATAACTACTACAGCACACACGGGTGTATAATGACTATAAGAGCACAAATCATGGAAGGTAATTGAGAATGTATTTTAATGTTTCATGTAAAATATGATTGTAGATATTACAAAAATATTTTTAAAAATGTTCACGATATATTTATGTAATGTCAAATTTAACCTTATTTCAAAGTATAAATTCTCTAGGTCAGCCTGTCTTAAAAATATAGACTGTCTTACTTCTGTACTTCAGTTAAATACACGGTTTCTAACGTGCGGGAATAGCCGCTGCTCGTAACTCCCCGTTTAAAAGGAACTCTGAACACGATGACTTCGTTACCGTGATGAAAAGGAGCTCCTTTTAAAAAAAATAAAAATAAAAACTATGAAGTTAAAGAAGGAAATTAAATAGGATTCGAAAAAGACAAGATTCACGCCACAATTAACTAGGAATGGGCACCTTAAGGTTTAAAAACTTTCACCTACACGATGAACCCCGAGCGGCTGAGGGCAGGTTTGCCTCCGGATGAAGTTGCGTCCACTCAGTTAATAGTCAGGACCGGAACGAGGCTCATTCTTCGCCGCGAGACCTACGAAAACTTATTAATCTACACTACTCATTCACTGGAAGCCTCAGAAGTTCGACCGAGAGGGACATTGAGCCAAGCTTAAGCCTGAGAGTTTTGAAGAAGACTTTGAGCCTCTTTGTTCGGTCAAGAGCGCGCTTTTCGTCCGAAGAAAGCTCAAAGCCACCAAACCCTTTGAATAGTAATAATTGGTTGGCTCGACATTGGAGTGACACTTATTTTTCTCTTTAATCAAAATATTGAGTCTCGGATATTATTTCTTCGATCTCCGTCGTAATACCTATTATCCGCATTTTTAAAGTATATATTATGCCATAGCCCGAGCAAATCTACACAGTTGAAAATTTTCGTGTTTAATGATACTCTGTTTTTTTCTTTTTCATTTTCTTTTTTCTTCTTCTACTTTTGTAAGATCCACGCAAAGGACTCGGCAGCTCAACATAATTTTGTGTTAAATTTACCGAAACCGTAGGTTACTCTGGAACATCGGGACATAAAGAAAATGTCCTGCGGAACTTACGTACTCTTGTTTCCCTAACCATCTAGAATGATCACCGATGCTATCCTGACGGTTGGCTCTTAGTTCCAACGAGGTCGCAGATTTTCAACACAAAAATTTGGTTGCGGCAACACAAATATATTCGGTCGGATTTGACACAAGGAACTAACACAACAGAAATTAATCAAAAGCTTGTATTACCTCTTCTTTAGTTTCCACATTAATACGATATTTTGATTGCTTTTCCCTGACTGTGTATACATCTCGACGGTGAAACTTCTAAACCACGTCTCTTGTTTGCTGTGTTTGAAAATCTCCAATTACATTTTATTTTTTGATAAAAGAACGAATCGATATCATTTTTTGTAGTTCTTACAAAATTTACTTCGCGCAGACGAAAAAATCACAGAGGTTTTAAAGAATCGACGTTTATTTGTTTTCCATTTAATAAATAAAGTTTGACGGAAAGTCTGCAACACTGGAAAAAAACGTATTGGATCTAGAGTCCAGACTCTTAAAAACATCGACAAGAAAAAATACTCTTGATTCAATCAGATTTCAGCTTAAATCAAGAACCAAGCCTATTAATTTGAGCGGATTTCCTTTTGATTTAAGCTTAGATCTGATTGAATCAAGGGTCATTTTCTTGTCAATGTTTTCAAGAGTCTGGACTCTAAATCCGATGTGTTTTTTTCCAGTGAACTTCGCAAACGGAGATACGTGGTTTGGAGGTTTTACAGCCGATATCCTTGTACACTAGCGCCTAAAAATGTTTTGTTATCGAAGCCCACATCAGGCTCCACTTCAATAGCCTCGATAATCATTGCAACTGATCAATTGTGCACTTTTGTAGAATATTTTGGACGTTTATAAATTACTCATTTCAGGTTTCATTTCTGTTACAGATGAAAAATGATGCGCTAGGATTCAAATTCATCTGAAACTATCTATCGGTGAGTGATACCTGAGAGTCATTCGAGCATACGTTAAGTTTGTCTAAGTTAATTTGGTCAAATTACGTTTGATGAAAATTAGAAATTGACTTCATACCCTTCCCTTGCATCTTCATCATTCTGTCACATTAAACTATCGATTAATTAAGAAATTACAAGGTTACGATCGTAAGGAGCAGTGTATGCTCAGAAACGTCACGTCGACGCCGTATTGACAGTTACAGTTCGATGGCCGAAGTACGAAATCACGTACCTTCATTTGCAACGTTACAGACTTCCTGTCTTAAGTTATTTTTCCATTGAAAAATTAGTTCACTTAATTTTTAAACTTCCGTGATTTTTCTTCTTTATTAGCGAAATATTCGGTAGATTTTCCAAGTTCACTGAAATAAAAAACAGTCTTAAATTCGCCCCCGAGAAATAGTTTTCCTTCAATCAAGAATGGTGTTGCTTGAATCAAGCTACTTATTTTCTTAACCCAAGCATATTTCTCTTTGTTCCAAGGATAATTGGACTGCATTTTGCAATAAGGAACCACTATTTCTGGCTCATTTTAGAAACAACATGCATGCCATTGGTTTCCCTATGCAGATATGTCCTTTCATGGAAGAGCTAGAGATACTGGTTCCGTATTGCAAAATGTAATTCGCAATTCTGCTTTGATTCCGATAAAATAGTCTTGACGGCGAAATTAAGAATCATCAGGCTTGATCCAAGCAACTTTTATTTCAGCGTCCTTGACTTGTTTCTCTTCAAAAAAATAAAATAGGGGAAGAGAGTTTCAAGCACCACAATAGCGTTAGGTGGTTTCGATCTTTTGCTATCAAGTTGTTAACATCAGGTGCTACAGGTGGTATAAAATCTAAATTTTCAGCTCCAACGTGGCAACCCCGAGTTCATGTTAGCTCTTTCATCAAGGATATTTATTTTGGCATTTGCACATATTGTCGTCCCTCTAACGTAAGGGCGTATCTCAATTTTCACGTGAACCTTGTTTTACATAAAACTCCGTGCTTTTTGGGGCTCATTCGGGAATAGACATACGCCCTTACGTCAGAGCAGGGACGATATTTCCGTGTAAACAGCTCACTGACATGAGACTTTTGAGGTTGCTCGTTACTCACGAGCATGACTCGCTGTTGTGAGTTGAGGGGGGGGGGGGGGGGAGACACTTGACAAAGGTAGGCAAGCGTAACTGAAAATGAGCAAAAAACGTTGATTCTTCGCGTTTAAGTGCACAGGTCCATCGTTTTCAAATAGATATAAGGTGAAATCTATTAATTATTTCTGAGAGTATGAACTCGAATTCTTTTGAAGCTTGTGAGATAATGCATGGACATTTGATTCATGTAACACTTCATTATCTTACACATATCTCAAATTGCAAGGTGGTCCAATACTGCCGTGCTAAGGAAGAACACCGTATGTGCATTCGAGAGTTGCCAAATTTCCTCTGAGGAAATGTTTATTTTTGAGGAAAGTTATTAATATTTTTCCTTGAAATTTTCAAAAAAATACCCCCTCTCACCTCTCCCACTACTTTCACGCGCATTTAGTGTGGGGCCCTTCCCCATTCTGCCGTGCTAAGGAAAAACGGCATATGTACATTTGAGAGCTGCCAAATTTCCCCAAATAAAACATGTATTTTTGAGGAAAATCATGCATATTTTTCCTCGAAATTCTCAGACATTTTACATTAAAGTGCGAATAAAATGGCCTGAAAAATTCGAAGAAAAATATAAAAAAAATTCCCAGCGAATAGGTTTTTTGTTGAGTGAAATATGGCAACGCCTGCAAGCTCATACGGCGTTCCTCCTTAGCACGGCAGTATCGGAGCGTGACGTAATGGGTGAACAGCCCCGAGGCAGGATTAGAGAAACGGTTGGATTTCGTTGCGACGCGGCAACTACGCAAATTGAGCGCACGGTGATGGATGGGCGGCAAAATGCCTGACTGGATTCGTCCGGATGATGGTGCGCGGCGGTGGCGAAGCCGTTAAAAACGGCGGCCTTTGATCTCGGGCGCTTCTTCTGGCGGACTGGAGGTAAACAATAAAGCGACATCCTCGAGAGGAATCGCAAAGCCCAATTCAGACAAAAAGCCAAGTTCAGTGCCGCCACTCAGTGGGCTCGGCTCCGATTTGGACCCCAACTTTCAGCTCCCCTCCCGCGTCGTCCTAAACCACTTTCGCCACACCGCACAGTGGATCGAGTCAATTAGAGAGATTGGACATAACATTTTTGACTTAAATCTGCAAATTTTGATGTTTATTTTGTCACATTTAAAATCTTATAGGCGTACCTAGGAAGAAAATTTTACGAGAAAACCAATGAGACCGCTTTCAGAACTTCAAAGTTTTGTATAAACAGAGTTAAAAGCATTTAAAGTTTCCAAATTTTGTCCGACCTCTCCTATTGACTCGATCCACTGTGCGCCGCGCGCCAAAGAGCTCCTCAGGACGAAACTTAAGTCGCAACTACTCCGCTGCGGAACAGCTGCTTCGAGGAGAATTATAATGGGCCTGTTGAAGATTTCAGCTGGGGCAAAGAAGAGAGCTAAAAGCTTACAGAAAACGGCTCAAAAATCACGAAGATCATCGGGACAGTCTGAAATACACTCCCAACTTCACAATCTGCCGGAGAAATATGCGTTTTTAAGCTCCCCGCTTCAAAATCGATAGTACAGCACAGGCGATCATTTCGTGAGAGGAGTGCGCACCAGGATAGTGCGCAATATTCAACCCGGCCTCGCAAACCCGTCAAAACACACGTGATGCCGCAATCACACTTGCTTTTATTTATAGAAAAAAATGTTACCAATTTTTCTTTAAATCTCGTGCAAAAATTAAAATAAAAAAAAATTGGACAAAAATCGGACAGGTACATAAACAAATACTCTGCTAGAAAACTGCGTTTCTTGAGGTAATACACCGGATGTACACAAACATCGGTACATTATACACGGAAAAAAATAGATTGTCTCTAACAGCTAATGCGGTATGGTTGAAAAGTAAAAAGCCGTGAGAACCAATAAAAATAGTTGGATTCACCAGCCACGTTGACCGATGTGACCAAGCACGAATCCAATTTACCTATACGCCTAAATTAAATCCGACTGTTGCATCTTTTAGTGGTGCAAACAGCAATGTATGTTATCATACCCGCACAAGTAGGCCAAGCCAGCAAGAATCTTACGGCGGATGTCGCTGTGGCTGAGATGGACGGATTAACCATCTTGACAAAGCTGAACTGGCCATCACAAAGGCGACCCAACCATCAGGTAAAGTCAGCGCGGTGAGAGTTCCCGCCTGGCTGAGCTGCGGTCCGCCATTTTTCCTTTGTCACTCAGTTACAAGTTCATCACGTTGTTGTTCGAAGTCTGTGCGCTTGGCTTTATTTATCTATATTAATCCATGTGAATTTACGCGTAATTTGCCCAAATTAGTGTTCGAATCGTTTCTACAGCTACCGTCTTGTCTTTAAATCTATCTGTTTTAACTTTCCACGTATATTTTCCGAGATTTCCTAGTTACCTGTATCGACCACTTTTTGGAGGTTATAAGAGTGCTGCGATGAATCTGGCTAACAAAATGTGTGAATTCTGAAAACTTGAAGGGCGTTTCGCAAAATTGTTCTGTTATTTAGTGAGTGTCGGTTCTGTATAAAGTCATTGCGAAAGCGGGAAGATACGGAAGTCCCTTGAAAATGATAGACCAGTGATTATTGAATACTTCGTTCGTATATCTATTTGTGTTAAAATTTTAGAGAATCAAAATACTCTGATGCAGAGTAAAATTTTCCTGGGATGTTTGTTGAGTATAAGCTTTAATCAAAATTTGACAGTTTCTGTCCCACCGTGAACTGTGGCAATTGGTACTGCGTGTAGTTTATTTTTGTAGGTATATTTTGAACTATCTATCTACTTATTATGAAATTAAACTTTTTGTGAAACTGATTTAGTCTGTAAATGATACTTTGACGGTAAAAACAAGTTTCGTTTTGGTATCATTTACTTGAAATCGGTGAAGCAATTATCTGCTATNTTTCGGTATACTTCCACTAGCTTCCGCGTCATGTAATTCGCATCTTCTTCGTCCTGAGCTATTACCACCTGATCATCAGCAAAGCACAGAGTATAAAGGGTGCCATCTTCACGTAGCGGGACGACCATTCTCGAACAGCATCTTTTCCATTCCTTTAAAACTTCTTCCAGGTACACTTTAAATAAGGTTGGCGACAAAAAACACCCTTGTTTCAATCCTTTAGTAATTAAAAACCCCAACGATAAGTCCCCATGCGATTTAACCCTAGAAAAAGCCCCACCATAAAATTCCTTAATAGCACTAATTAGTCCCCCACTAAAACCCCTTTTGTTTAAGGTGGTTTTGTTTGTATCATACACATTATGCCAAGGTAATATTTTCACTTTCAATTTTTGGCGGAAAATGTAAGCATTGCACCAAGAAACCCAATTTTGTAGTTTTTTCCGAGAAATGTATTTATTAAACCCTTAAAGAAAGCTGAGAGTATCCAACTGCGAAAAATATTTCATTCGATCGGTCAAATCGAATGGTTGATTTCCGCGTGCGCGTTTTTTATGTTTTCGCGAACGAGATTCTTCAACAGCTAAAATACTCTTTTCGGCATAATGAGTCTGTTTTCTATCGAATAATAAAAGTTACCATGTTAAATTTACCATGGTTATGAAAACAAATGGGTCGAGCTCGGAATTATTCTTTTTAAGCTTTTGGGATAAAAAAAAGAGGAACAAGCACATTTTACTGTATTTCACTAGCAAGAAACAAAAAGATGCTCTTTACTTCGCTGCTCCTCCCTCCCAGTGGCGTGGCGTGCTTTGCGATACATCGATTGATCAGCCATATAAATCATGGAAAAGGATCGCGGTGTGTACTGTTCGGAAATGGTGTACACCGGGGTAATCGACACCAAGAAATTATGATTTTTCAACGACTTGAGCGCGCAGGTACAATACGCGCAATG